GCCCTATATACAAACACCTCAAGCAGAGTGAGGGCATACAACCACCTCTCTCCATTGTTCTATTCGAGCAGTGGGGTTAGACAGGGTTGCCTAATCTCACCATTCCTCTTCAACTTTGCCATCGATGACATTCTGGAAACAGCTCTGATGAATGTAAGTAATGGTGGTGTAAATCTGTTGCCTGGAGAAAGACTTCTCGACCTTGAGTATGCGGATGATATTGTCTTACTGAGCGATAATGCCCAAGCCAAGCAATCCGCACTTAATCACTTGGTAATCAGTGTCCGTAGGTATGGTATGCGCTTTGCACCTTCGAAGTGCAAAGTACTTCTACAAGACTGGCAGGATTCTAATTCTGTACTCACTCTGGATGGTGAGCAGATAGAAGTAGTCGAGAAGTTCGTGTATCTGGGTAGCTGTATAAGTGCGGGTGGGGGTGTGAGTGATGAGATCGATGCACGTATAGTGAAAGCTAGAGCGGCTTAAGCCAATCTGGGCCATCTTTGGCGCCCTCGTGATGTTAGTCTGGCTGTAAAAGGTCGGATCTACAACGCGTCGGTGAGAACAGTCTTGCTCTATGCTTGTGAAACCTGGCCTCTCCGAGTTGAGGACGTTAGACGACTCTCTGTGTTCGATCATCGTTGTCTCCGAAGGATTGCTGACATCCAGTGGCAACACCATGTTAGTAATACAGAGGTTCGGCATCGTGTGTTCGGGCACAGAGACGATAATGCAATTGATGTCACCATCTTCAAACACCGACTTCAGTGGCTTGTACATGTTCTACGAATGTCGTCCCAGAGAATTCCACATCGTGCATTATTTGCCGACTCTGGGACTGGTTGGAAAAAGTGGAGAGGTGGTCAGTATATGACATGGTGTCGTGGTATGAAAGAAAGCTGCAAAGGACTGGCTTGTGTCGGTCCTTCACGACTCTCTGGTTGGGGTCCGAGAGATGGTGCTACACAGGGGCTAGAAACGTTATCAGATATGGCTCAGAATAGAAGCCAGTGGCAATCCTGATGTGACCTTTTACTTCATAAAAAAAGTGGTTGTATCTTCCTTAACTGAAAGATTTTTTCTGATTGTACCCTTCTGTTCCCCTACTATTGCTATTATTATTATTACACTACCTTACACCAATCTCTTCGTTATTGTTTTATTTTTTTTTTACGTTCCTCACTTTTTTTTCTTCTCAGACTCTCATTGTTTTGTGTGGCGCTTATATATTCGGCGCACTCCCGTACCAATATATATTTGTTTAAATAAATAAATAGTAAAAGTCATCTACTTAGTACAGATTAAAGCAATTCAGTCAGTCAGTAACAACGTAGAACTTCGTACGTACGTACATGAGTTCGAGTTGCCACACCACATTAGCACAGAGATGCAGTTGTCGATTCAAATCCCGTAGTGTTATACAACCACGACCAGGTCGAAAATCAGCCTGATTTTCTCTAATCTGCTCTTCACGAGCTTTAGTTAGGCGTTGAAGTATTATTGAAGCTAATATTTTAGACACTATATTAGTCAAACTGATTCCTCTGTGATTGTCACAAGAGGACTTTTGTCCTTTCTTATAGACTGGCACAATCAGTGATTGAGACCAGTCAGATGGGATTACGTCCAGTTCCCAAATTCTACCTATTGCCGCTGCCTTTTCCATCTCTCTTGCTTTCGCTACCCACCACTGTTCACGATCATTGCGTAGACTTCTTGTCAGCTTGCGCTTAAGCTGACTCCGCTCTTCATTATGTTCAGAGCCAGGTGAGTTTCCGAGCACCTATCAGTGCGATAGATGCTGCTGAGATCCAGTGGTGCTCCCTAACCTTCTGGTTTACCTTACTAGCAGATATCACTGCTGCTTCCACAGCTTTTCGGATATCATTCCATGCTGCCTCGGGGTGGGCATCACATACATGGCTGCCTAACTGCTTTCCTAGTTGTTCCCCAAATATACTCTTAGCTTGACTATCATTAAGTAGGCCCCTAAGAGGTTTCCTTGCAGTGTCTTTCCTACGTCCAGTAAGACGCAAGCAAATACGCGCTCGCACTAGAGCATGATCTGGAACTAAGCATGTGCTCCAGAATGAGCGACAGTCTTCTATCGAGCCCCTCCATCGGTGGCTGATAGCGATGTGATCTATTTGGGTCCAACGTTGGGACGAATTAAGAGGTCGCCATGTTAAAAGATGTTTTTCCTTATGCTTAAAATTAGTATTTGCAAGGAACAGGCGGTTATTTGAGCATAGCTGCAACAGACGGTCGCCATTATCTGTTCTTTGAGCCACGACACCATAAGATCCACCTAGGTGTCTTTCCCTATCGCTTAGTTTACCTACTTGAGCATAAAAGTCACCGGCCACTATGACTACATCAGAGCGCCTAGCTTTTCGGAGAAGGTCGGAAAGCTTTCTGTAAAACTCATCTTTTACATCATCTGAGCTGCAGTCAGTGGGAGAATAGGTAGAAACGACGAAGAGGCAACGACGAGTGTCCCTATCTTTCCGGATTCTTACTGTTCCGTTCAGTCGGACAGCGCACAAACGGCTGTCTACTGGGATCCACTCTAAGAGAGCTAGTTCTGCCCTAGGACTCAATGCTATACCTACGCCGGCAAGGCCACGGGAAGCAGAATCAGGGCTTCCAGATACACGAAGTGTAAATCGAGTCGGTTCTTTATTTTGGCATGGTGAGGTTAAATGAATGACGCTACTCGGATCTTGTATGCGCGTTTCGGAGACGCAGCACACATCGATGGCGCGAGATTCTAAAGTCCTAGCTAAGGAAGCCTGCTGTCCTATTTGGCACAGTGTTCGTACGTTAAAAGCTCCTACGTGTAGTTTAGAGCGTGGTTTCAGGAGACCAGGAATAACGTTCCGCGTACTCGGATCGTTCGCCCTAGCGGTGCGAGGTGATAAAGAGACGTGAGGAGGGCTAGCGGTGGAGATGATAGAGTTATTAGGAGGTGTAGGAAGGATTTGAATGTGACTAACTTGGTCTCGTGTGCTGTTACGGGTATGAGGGCTGGTGTCATTTCCCGGCTGCCCACACCGTGGAAGGGTATTTCTTGAGGAACATGAAAAGGAAATTGGATTAATGTTGGCCTTAACTACCGCAGAGCCCAAGGGACAGCTGCTTGAGGCCGGTCGCGCACGGCCTTTTCGTGGAAGGTTTTTAATGTGTCAGCTCCGTTCTTCAAAGGGCTTTACCGCCGGAGACGGAAATCCGTGAGGTAAGGTGAGGTGTGACATTTTTAGGGTCGACCTTTTCTAACCCCACCCCTCCTTGTGGGAAGGCAGCATCACTGTAGATGCTGGTTGTCCGAGGGAAACACCTTACTGCTGTCACAGCCCTCTACAGTCAGCAGTACGACTTTGCCCTCAGACCTTGAGTTGCTGCTTTTAGTCTTACCGTTCACCAATCGACCTGCCTGGCATGGTAGAACCTACAGGAACATATGTCCCAGCCAATATAGCTCGGTTGCGTCATCACGATAGCCAAGCCCGACCACCGCGTTAAGGTAGCAGCTTAGGTCGGGAATTGGTGTTGATCTACACCTTGTGTGAGGGCCAATGATTCTCTCTGGTTGCTCAAATCGCTTTAAGTGATAGTTTTAACCAGCAGCCTACTAGCTGAAAGGTAAGTGCTTAGTTAGTAAATGACAAATCAGAATTATATGCGATGATGTAGACTTTTTCTCAGAATTATGAGTATGTAGCAACATGATACACGACTACACAATAACTTATGTTATAGATAAGACAATCTGTAGTTTTGAATGATACATCCACACCAATAAAATCTACAGAAGTGTGAAAATTCATATTACTGTGGTTAAAATCAAAACAACATAAAAATAACTCGAGTCAATGATGCTAAGGAAAACTAAAAGTTAAACGCCCTACATAAAATAAATGCTGATTAAGTGGAATATACTCTCAGGATATTTTATCAACAGACTTTAACAGAAGATATATAGAAATCAGTTTTGAGTATTCGTGTTGCGGTCATTTTGGTTCACAATATGAAAACAGTTCGACAAAACTATTTATTGAAGCCATATTTCAACTGAGATTTTTATCGAAATAAATAGTCACGTTGAAGCATATGGAATACTGAAACTCGTTACTTTAAAATTAAAACAAAAGTGCAGCAATCGTTCAGTTGTCACAGGAACCATATAGTATGACCCGAACTAGTCAATTTTTAGCGCACAACAAAACTTGATGTTGTTTTTATGTGTTGTGTGGTTCTGTATAGTTACTTTACCGCGTTATCATAAGATGTTGTGACGATGACAAACCAAGAAAAGGACTAATTCTCAGATCCACAACTTTCAACCACCTAATGCAGACAGTACTTTGGTTACCGTTCTCGTCAACGATTAAAGTTTATTGCCTGTAGACTTCGTGAAGTTTAAAGCCATTGTCCAAAAAGGGTCCAGTTACTATAACATAGTATCAGCCTTCAGTGTGTTAATGATTTAGAGTTAAACGAGCGGTATATTAGTCCCTAAGGATGTTTCTGTGGCTGAAGGAAGAGTTAACAGTTGTGAGGGTGTTATATCTTTTCATTACCTTGCACATGACATCCCGCTAGTCGGGATCCCACAGCAACCGAAAGTACACTCAGAAATCGAGATGACCCACAATTAAACTATATCCCACAGTCGTTATTAGAAACGTCAATGATCGATACACAACAATATAGACGGCGGTATCAGAAGTGGTGAGTGCACTTTCTTGTATTAAGTATTTAAGCTATACAAAATATAACGTTAGGAAATACCTAACCAACTAGCTACAACCATGATAATAGGAGCGACATACTGTTTATATTCCACTTACTGGTGGGTGATGGGTAGAAAGCGTACAATAAAGTCAAGAGACAGTTACACAGTATATTTTATCAACTTCAGTTCCCATCAAAATTTTGTACAAATAACCATTTGAACACATAATGCCAGATATTTAAGACATTAATACACAAAAGCGTACCTGAAAGATGTATGACGGTTGAGGTTTGGAATTTCGAATTCTTTTTTCCAGCAGCTCTTTTGTTTTCCTATTTATATCTACCCTCTTACCATGATTCAAACTTTCAGTACTTGACGAAGAACTAATGCCAATTTCAGTTGAACCAGTCCAATTGGCCAAAGTCTCACGAGGAACAATTGAGAGAGAGGCATCCAAAACAACATCAATTGCTGCTGACTCATATTTGATAGCTCCTGGTCTGAGTACAGACCGATTATGAGAAAGTCGAGAACCAAGTTTGTTAAAAACACTATCCCTAACTTTTTCGATCGCACGCACGATAACAGCCTCAGTCTAAAAATATGACAAGAAAACACTCAACTAACCTTCATCTCTCCAAACTTGGTGACACCACACTCGGTGGGAAAAATATTTTCGCAAAACAAATCTGTGAGATTTAATTGACCTCCAATACATTCACGAGTAAGTTTTGCTTCATAAGACGTGCATTCTACATCTTGACGAGCTAATCTTTCGTAGCTAGGTTCCGAATCAATGTAATTATCTTGAGGAAAAGAGTGATCCAGGAATGCGTGGAAAATAGTCAAGTGCGACATCAAGTTGTGGGAATTTTATTTAATGCAGCCAGTTATGGTGGATCACATGCAAGAATCTAGTAGCTATTAACAGTATAAATCAACGTTAGTTTTGCACTGGCTTTAGAACGTAAATACATTCAAACAATTTCACGATAGCACTTTTTGTAAGAACTAGGGCAGGTTGATAATTTGAAAAAAAACTGCTACTATTAACCAAACACTTGAATATCAAGCATAATGGATGGTTTTTCTAGAAATTAAGGATTTAAAGGCAGTAAAGTTGTAGAGTCTAATACTTTCACGGCCTGTACTGACAAAACAGGTCGTCTCAAGCATTATGAGCGCATGTTATACTAAAGTCGTTAGTTACAATAACGAAACGTTTGAAACAACTTTAGGGTCAAAAGTGAAACTCGATATACACGTATTGACAGGAGCATGACCAATAACATACTAATAAAATACGAATACCAAAGGGTCAATTAGTCGTATCACATGCACTTAAATATGAAAGAAAATTATGAAAGTAGCGACCGTTGTTCGATGACTTAATGATATTAAGCTCTGGTACATCATGCGGTCTGATGTATTACATCTGTTATCATTCTCGACAGACTATTTCAGAACATCTTGCAGAGTAGAAAAAACATGTACATGTCAGACCCAACAACAAGTGACCGGAATAATACCATAGTAAGCACGATCTTTGGAATTAAAATGAAAACCCGTACTTAAATTTTGACCTATCCACCTGACTGGGATATTATCGCAACACTAGGAACACTTTATAGACAAGTTGAACACTTGTTATTTACTTGAACACATAAATATGGGTACAAAGGGGCACCGAATGCATAAGCGCCACACACGTCACTTGAATTGTGTTTGGGCCACGATACTGCCCGGATGCCCAAACTGAAGCAGGTGGTATTCCTAAGGCGCCACACTCAGAGCGTTCGACCTAAAGGTCTGATCAACAAGGCAGTGGAGCAGATGCAGTCTTATAGCAGCCGGTGACCAACGATTGGTTCATACACCATTTGTCCCTTCAGGATACTGGAGCCCATATGTACTATCGGTTTGGAGTCAGGGTCTTCCACTCCCCTAGGTGGACTCTCAGTGTCCACCAACCCGGTTAAAGCACCGGAAATTCGCTTTTCGTCCTCTCAATTTTGTAAACAACACCCGCAACACGGGAAGGCAGTGAGTAGGACTTCCCTGGCAGTGGCTGTATACGCGTGGCTATGTGAGAGCATTTCGAGAGAGAGCTAATTCTCCCACCCTCGGCCGTACCAGGGCATTTGAGGACTTTCTTTTAAGGTGAGTACACGGGAAGGACCACACAATCTACTGATAAGAGTAGCGGTGCTTGCAATGGCAGTTCTTACATGATAAGCTTACTTATTAAAAGAAGACCAGGTTGCACGACAAAATACAAGAATACCTGTTAAAATAAGACTCACAGGCTCCAAACAGTGGTTTGATAAAGTGCTTCGTAAATGACAGAGGGACTTCAGTCTATGCACGAACTTCAGGTGGTGCTTAAATGACCTTAAGAATGTCCAACTACTTGCTGGAACTACACAAACGTTGTAGATTTGTGTGAAGAATCAGGACAAGGATTGACAATTGAATGTCAGGGTTAGGAATTGAAGTTGAGGCTTTCACTATGAACTGACATCATTTGGTGCCTAAATACCAATTAGCTTTATGGATAAATGAATTTTGGAACAAAATTCAAGACCTGATATATTCTTTCAGGTCGGTTCGTACATAAATTAACGGTCTCGCCCAAAATGACTAGTATAGTAACCCTAGAAATAAGCATTATACAAGCATGAGTTGAAGACAAAATAAAGGCTAGCAGAAAAATAATCGAACGGAAAAAACACTGAGATGAGGAACCGCAACCCTAGCTCCCCACACTATATTCGCTATATGAATACGACTTAAACGCACTACACGTAGTAACAGAATAACAGGAAATGATTTGTATAAATCTTAAAAATAACACAACAGTTGAACACTATATTAAACACGTTAAGCATTAACAAGTGAACGAATAACAGGCGATAGCTAAAGTATTTCACCTAATGATAAATGGGCAACGCTCCTTGGGTATCGTCCACTGATAGGGGTTGCGAGCACTTGTAGGTCGAACTGTCGCAAAATGATTGGTGCGTCCCATCGACAATTCGTGAAAATTTTCAGAAGCGGTCAAATCAAGACATTTTTAGATTTGAATTGAGTTCAGCCACACCATGTCTAGTGACGTCCATTCTTCAAGTAACGAAGACGATGCCATCGTGATGATGCATGATATAGGTAATATGACTTCTGTGGTTAGTAAGTATTTCTTTAGTATACGCATACTAAGTACGTTATGTCTGTATACAAAGAGAACAGTGATGATCCAACTCTAAAGTACTTTTTCGTGAGTTATGTCTGTACATATGGACGTAAACGCATTTCGTCAGAGTCAGATGCTTGCGTTCAGGATGTAGATGATGATAGTAATAATCATTCTTCTGAAGAGCTTTGCGATCGCCAACACAACCCACGTATCAGTTTCAGTTTGGGAAGGACAGGAGGCTCGATGGCCTATGTTAGTCCTGGCAATGGTGGTCTCTCAGTTGATCCAACTTTCTTTTGAAAGAGTCGACGGATAGAGCCTCAACCACGTGCTGAGGTAGTGAATTCCATTCGTTGATGATTCGATGGGAAAGTCGATAGTCAGCTGACAAGTAATTTGTTCTCGGCTTATGAACTTTTTTGGAGTGTCCTCATAAATTCTCTGTTTTGGAAGACAAGAAAAATGAGGGCATGTTAGGTGCAAATTTATCACTAAGCAATTTGTAGACTGTAATCAAGTCGCCTCTAGTTCTGCGATATGACAACGGGAAAAGGTTCAGCTTGGCCAGTCGAGATTCATACGGAAGCTTCGCTATTCCGGGGACCAGCTTAGTCGCCGTTCTCTGAACCTTTTCCAGAAGCTCACTGTCTTTTTTTAAGCAGGGGCTAGCCGCTTGTATGCAGTACTCAAGTTTAGAACATACGAACACCATATACAAAGTCAATAAACTTTTAGCATCGACATGACTAAAGGCTCTACGTATTGACCGCCAGGTTCTTAAACCTTTGACGGCTATTGCACGGCACTGTGCAGTAGTCTTTAAGTTTTGGCTAACGATGACTGTTAAGTGTTTATGTGTCTGGATGACAGGTAGCTCAGTGTTATTCATCGTGTATGTATCTGTGCCTTGATGACCGATATGCATCACAACACACTTGGAAGTATTTATCGGCAACTGCCATGTTTGAGACCATTCAGATAACTTCTTCAGGTCATTTTGAAGTTCTAAGCTATCACTCTTACATCGTATCGTTCTCCATATCTTGACATCGTCAGCATATAGCAAGACCGATGATGATAGGAGACAAGGAAGGTCATTTACATACAAGAGGAATAGCACTGGCCCCAAAACTGTACCCTGGGGGACTCCACTAAGCACGGTTTCCCAGCTAGACAACTTGGAGTTCACCCTTACTCTTTGCTGACGCCCAACTAAGAAGTCTTTTATCCACATCAATAAATTACCTCCAATCCCGACATGTCTTAACTTATATAACAGCCGGTTGTGCGGAACTTTATCAAAAGCTTTACTGAAATCAATGAAGGCGACGTCTACAGGTAGCTTTTGGTCCTTAAGAGCACACCAGCTTTCACGAGCCACTAATAAGTTAGTGAGACAAGAATAACCTATTCTGAAGCCATGCTGCTTCTCCGAGAGGATCCGGTTTTTATCGAGATACTTAAACAGCTCCTTCCGAATAATCTTTTCTAATATTTTAACAACCACACTAGTTAGGCTAACGGGGCGGTAGTTTTCAGGTTTGTGTTTCGTGCCTGTTTTGAAGACAGGACTTACTATGGCGTTTTTCCAATATTTCGGTAAGCGACCCTGCGTAACGGATAGGTTAAAGCATGTACTTAAAGGGTTCGCAACGAAGTTAGATAATTCCTTCAGTAGCCTAGGATGTAATTCATCGGGCCCCGTGGATTTACCTATGTCAAGCTTATTTAGCAGACCAAAGACATCGAGTTCTTTAATGGTCACGCTATCCAGTGTATGTATGGGGGGATCTGTATACGCTGACGAGAAGGGCGCTTCTATGGTATACACGTTGCTAAAGTAGTTCGAGAACGCTTGAGCCTTACCAAAGTCGTCCTCCACTAATGATGAAGCAGTACTGTCTCCCCATAGAGCAGGAATATTTCCTTTTCTCCTTGTCCTTTGGTTTATATAGGAATACAAGCGTTTAGGACATTCTATGGATTCCTTAACAAGTTTTTCTTCGTACAATTTTCTAGACTTACGGAGGGTCGAGGCACAAGTGTTCCGAGCCTTTCGATACTGAGATTTTGACTCATCAGTCCCCAGTAACCTAAATCTATCCCACATTTTCCTTTTCTTACGGAGAAGGATACGGACCTCCCTACTGAACCATGGTGGTGAGTTTTTCGGCCCCTTTGGTATAGTCCAAGGGATGTGAGGTGTGGTAACTTTTAAGTATGATTTTCGAAATGCGTCCCAGGCCGTTTCAATGGAGGACTCTGGGTCTATTGTCCAATCTATTAACGATGCTGAGTGCATGATGTCTGGTATGTTTGCTTTCCAGACGTTGGGTCTGGACTGGACTGACGCGTCCTCATAACTGGCAGTTATATGGAAGTCAAAAGTTAAAACTGCGTGGTCACTTTTACCTAAGGGTGGCATATGGTGGAGGTTCGCAACATCATCCTCATAGTGAGTCAGTATAAGATCTAATAAGGATGATTCAGTGTCCGGATCGTACCTTGTCGCTTCTTTCACATGTTGCACTAGAGCACATGTGATAACCCCATCAACTAGTTCCTGCTCGAAAGAATTCTCCGACGATTTAGTTCGCAGATTTTCCCAGTCTACCATAGGTGCATTAAAGTCCCCTAGGATTAGACATCGACCACTTTGGGACCA